TAGTTTCGAACTGCTGATCTTGCAGTTCACAGCCCAATTTGTAACCACTACACTACCAGAGCATAGATTATATATATATATATATATATATATATATATATATATATATATATATATATATATCATCTATCATATATATATATATCATCTATCTATCATATATATATATGTCATCTATCTATCATATATATATATATATCATATAACATATATATATATCATCTATCTATCATATATATATATATCATCTATCTATCATATATATATATCATATAGCTATATTTATTTAAATGCCAAACTAACACACTGAATATTTGAGTTAACATACAATAAGAGAACTCAGGAGTTCTACATTGACGTTTATTGACCTACACATTAGACAATGGTCTAATTTTGCAACTGAACTGATGAGTGTCCAAGAGTTTCTAATGTATTGGTGTTTCCATTTCCAGAAAAGTGGAGCTTGGAAAATGGTCCCTGCACAACAGATACATAGTCACTGAGGACTATGTATGATAAACGAGGAGTGGTTTAGATCTTTGCTTGCTACTCAGTGGTCCTCAGACCAGCAGCTTCAGCATTAGCATCATCTGGGAGCTTGTTAGAAATGCAGAATCTTGGGTACCACCCTAGGCCTACAGAGTCAGAATAAGCACATTGACAAGACTCCCAAGTCTTCCTGGGCATATTAAAGTTTGAGAAACACTGGGTCTAGACAAAGCAGCAGCATAAGACAGTGTAATTGCCTACCTGTAACCACCATTATAGGGAGAGCGGTGGCTCTGAAGGATAAGCACTGGACTGCTAATCACAAGGTCCAAAGTTTGAGTCAACCATTTCCTCCACAGGAGAAAAATAAGACTGTCTGCTCCGATAAAGATCTACAGACTCAGAAATCCTATACAGGATTTCCTATGCAGAATGGCACACTTAAGAAACCCGCCACCACCACCATTACCACCATCTGTCTGCCAATTGGTTGTACCGTGATGGCTATGTGTTTATGATGCTAAAAGATATACCACCAATATTTCAAATACCATCAGGGTCACCAGTGGTAAAAAGGTTTCAATAGAGATTCCAGACTAAGAAGAAAAAGACCTGGCCACTGACTTCTATAAATTAGCCAGTGAAGACCATATGATCCCAACAGCTACTGTTCAGTACAGAGCTAGACTATGAGTCCCTTTACTTGGTTGGAAGGCACTACACAATACTGGAACAGTAGACTCAAACACACAAGTAGCACTCATTCTGTTATGCCTCAGGTCACCATGAGACAAAGCCAACTCCATGGCAACTAACAACAGCAACCACAACCTTTAATCTAAGTCTCTTGAGAAATTATCGCTGCTCCTGCTTTATACTCCCTTAAGCTTCATCTTAAATTTTAAGCGGTCTCAGTGAAAATCATAAATAGCCACGTTTTTTCAAAAGGTACTTCAAAGTTAAAGGGAAAAAAAATACGTGTGTGTGTGTGTGTGTACCCATGGAAGCAGCGGTCAAGAGATCAAACAACAAATCGTATCAGGTAAATCTGCTGCACAAGACCTCTTTAAAGTGTTCAAGAGCAAAGATAACAGTTTGAGGACCAGTTGCACCTGACCCAAATAATGGTATTTTCAATTCCCTCATATCATGTAAAAGTTGGACAATGAATAAGGAAGACCTTATGCGCATTCTCAAAAAATTGGAAATAGAAATACTGTTGTTGTTGTTAAGTGTCATCAAGTCAGTTCTGACTCTGTATAGGGTTTCTGAGGAGTGGCTGGTGAGCTTGAACTGCCAACCTTGCGGTCCAAACCAAAACTGTAGTCCAGCGCATTAATCCACAGCACCACACCAGGACTTCAGCTTAGGGATAGCAGCATCCTTAAACAATCTTTTAGCCCTAAACCTCTGGGAGTCAACCCAGGTATGAAATGAGGTAATGTGGGACTTGAAACTCTCTGGCCTAGGGGACTCATAGGATGTTATAGTCCTGGAAGGCATCTTGGATCAAGTTTAATGGACTTCTGGTGTGGATCAGCACTGGACTGTGACCTTAAGGTCAGCGGTTCAAATCTCGCAGCTGCTCCTCAGAAACCCTATTATACAGGGTTGCTATGAGTCAGAACCAACTGGACAGCACTTAACAACAACAACAAGAAAAGTGGTACCAGGAGAAGCTAAGTGCCTTGCCTCCAATTAGCATCTAGTTAGCAGCAGAGGTAAGCAATGGGATGTCCCTACTGTTCAACGCTCGGTTTGTCACACTAAATATTGAGTTTGCTAAGAAAGCCTGTTTAGCATAAGAATCAGGGATATCTCATCACCTCACTGGACTGACCAAGGGCAAACCCAACCTATTCTGGCAGAGAGATGAATCCCAAAATTTTGAATCCCAAAAGTCACAAGTCTAATACCAGACAAGAAAGTTAAGGCATTTGATATTAGAGCTTACCTAACTCTTTCTCTCTTTCCTATAATTCTATTGGTTCCCACATATCCATTGTTTCTGAACTGCAGAGGTTATTTTAATCTCCCACTAAAATAATCTCTTTCTGATGAAAGGATATTTGCCTTCAGAACAGACACATTACTGTTAAGTACTTCATTCTTTCTGAAACACCTAAAGCTAAAGACTCATAGTGTACTAAACCAGCATCTTCAATAACAAGTAAATTATAGGAGATCAATTTATCCAGGCACCTAAACATCAGATGCATCAAACAATAAAACAGTATTTAAAGAAATGTTTTCTACTATCTACTTATAAAAATCATACTACTATAATATTTAAAAAGCAATCTGGAGCAGAGTGGCTCTATAGGATAAGCACTGAACCACAAGTTTGGCTGTTCAAGTCCACCAGCCACTTCATGGGAGAAAGATGAGGCTTTCTGCTCCTGCAAAGGACCCTAATACAGAGTTGCTATGAATCGGAATAGACTCAATGGCACTTAAAACAGTAAGAACAACAATCTGTTAGACACTACATGGTGAGGGGCGAGTACACTCCCAACATATGAGGGAGTGCTGAATGACTGATTGGTGGATCATAGTGGCCTGCCCACAAGACCACAATGGGCCTTTGCAGTGATATACAATCATCCACAGGAACAACCAGCTAGGTCTATTTTTATGTTTAGACAGATAACTCCTTCCAGTGAAATGTAATCCTGCAAATCTGAATTGTGTGTCCTTCTAAAGAAAAGATAAACCCTAGGAAAATTACTAATCCATGCCGCAGACATTTCAGGGAAGACATCTTTTCTATTACCGCTACTCATTTATATTACAAAATGAGCTGTTGTTGTTGTTAAGTGCTGTCAAGTCAGTTGCGACTCACAGCAACCCTGTATAGAGTTTTTGAGAAGTGGCCTCTTAACTATGTAAAGAGATCTGGTAGTAGTTATTGGGTTAAAGCATTTTACTACTGGGATACAAGTTATCTAGGAACCTATATCAACTTTGGAGTCCTGGTGTAGCGCTGTGGGCTAATGCGTCAGACTGCAAAGTCGTTTGAACTGCAAAGTTGGTGGTTCAAGCTCATCAGCTGCTCCTTGGAAACCCTATACAGGGTCGCTACGGGTCAGAATGGACTCAACAGCACTTCACAACAACAACATATCAACTTTGTAAGGTTACTAAGAATTGGTAAATTCTTAATTCAGTTAAGAAATGCACACAGATGAATGAATCAAATTAATGCCCAAATCAAATCTGGGATAACTGAGGCATGGGTAAACTGAGCTCATAACCTTCTAGGTTTCTTTGCTGATTTCAGAAGCATACATTCTCAAATACCAAGAGAACAGAAAATAAAAGTATAACTCACTCCTTGCCCACTGCAAGGCAAAAAATGAAAAATGAAAAGAGGAAGAATCCATCCTAGATCATGACTTCCGCCTTCCATTACTGCTAATCATGGTGAATGTCACACTTCCTGGCAGCCTGGCAGGGAGGATCAGAATTTTCCCACTTTAAAAGAAGAAATGAAAAAGACAGAGCTAGGCTGGTGAGAAATAGAGAAGAGGGGTGGTGGTGGTGGTTGTGTGTCTTCAAATTGGTTCCAACTCATAATGACCCTGTATAGGGTTTCTGAGGCTGTATATCTTTACAGGAACAAAAAGCCTCATCTTTCTCCCTACAAGTGGCTGGTGGATTCGAACTGCTGACCCTACAGTTAGCAGTCCAACTCGTAACCCACTATGCTACCAGGGCTCTTTAAGAAAAGGGGTATTTCTGTATTAATATATTATACAAGCGTGAATAGTGTCCTCCCCAAAGTCAATGTCCTTTCCAGAATGTCAGAATGTGACTGCATTTGGAAATGGGGTCTTTGCATATGTAGTTAAGTTAATATGAGATCATATTGGAGTAGGGTAGGCCCTAAATCCAACATGACAAGCATCCTTAGAAGAAGAGAAGACAGAAACACAGACACACAGGGGAAAAGGCCATGTAAAGAAGAGGTAAAAATGGGAGTGATGAATATACAAGTCAAAGATGCCAAGGATTGCCAGCAATCTCTAGAAGCTGGAAGAGGAAAGATTCTTTCTTAGAGACTTCAATCCCTGCCAACACCTTGATTTTGAACTTCTGGCCTCCTACCGTGCAAGAGCATACATATGTGTAGTTTTACATTACCCAGTTTACAGTACTTTGTTGTTACTGCAGCCCTAGGGAACACATACGATCCAAAAGTGATGACTTTTTAGCAAAAAAAATTCAGGTCAAGTTTTGATCAAATGGAAAGGGCAGGCGAGCCTGAGGATTGGCAGTCTTGCTCCTCATCCACGCCCCTCCCCTCTGCCTCTCCCCACAGCAACCAAACTCTCAGCCTCCCACTCTCACTGTTGTATTTTTTTGCCTCTGATTTTTTTTTTTTTTTTTTAAAGGGAATCTGATTTGTCCAGTGTCTTTCCAAGGTGTAGAAAATGCTGGAACCAAGCCTTTTAACCTAGCACAGAACCCAAAGGCTCTCTCTCTCTCCAGCAGCCCTGCGAGATCCCTACCTTCAGAAACAGCCTTCTTCACAGCTGCCACATAAATCTCGGGCTCATCATCACACGTGAGCTCCTGCCAGTGAGCCCAATCTGGAAAGAAATCCAGGAACTCCTCGCTGTCCTGAACTCCGCAGAGCAGCCTCACCATGCGGTGTGGAGGGTAGAAGGCTCGCTGCAGCAGGGGCAGTGCAGCCGGCTGGTAGAAGTGATGCACCAGCTCTGCAGACAGCAGTACCATGATGCACCGGGTGCTGAGAAAGAGGTTCAAGTCCTTGGCTGAGAAGGAGGCCTTGGGGTCCAGTTTGTGAGTCAGTATCTTCTGGGTGCGGACCTGCCGACTTGATAGGAAAAGATCCTGGAGGTACTGACACCAGTCCTCGGCATCTGAGCTGTAGATGATGAGGATGTCGTATCCTCCAAGCACCCCTGAAAAACAATGAAGTACAGAAGCACGTTAATATCCTTCTCCTTCTAGGGCTCCCTTGATCCCCAGAACCAGATGAGGGGCCGGGTACCCATGGTCTTTCAGTCTGTCTCCTACATACCTGTCTAATTTATTTCCTCACTTCAAGTCTGTGTTCCAACCACACCAGACTCTCCACCTTTGCTGAAAAGTACCATGTCAGACCTCTGTACAAGCTGTTGCTTCTGTCTGGCATGCTCTTCCCTGCATAGCTGACACAGAATAAGATAACAATAATAATAGCAGCCAGAACTCTTCCAAGCACGTTACCTAATCAGCTTATTTAATCCTCACAAAAACCCTATTAGGTAGATACTACTATTAGTCCTGGTGTGGTACTGCAGGATAATGCACTGGACTGCAAGGTCAGTTTAAGCTGCAAAGTCAGCAGCTCAAACTCACCAGCTGCTCCTTGGAAATCCTACATAGGGTCACTATGAGTCAGAACCAGCTCAAAGGCACTTAACAACAACAACTGTTTAGTCCCACTGGACAGATGAGAAAACTGAGATAGGATCCTTTGCCATTAGACCAGAAGAACTGGATGGTGCCTGGCTACCATCAGGGACTTAGTGACGGTAACAAGCAACCAGAGGTAATCTCTAAGTTGTGCTTCCCCTGCCCCCAATTTCAAGATGAATCGATATTGACAGCGGTGATGTACCAGTAGCAATGCCTTCTTCCCTCATATCTGGCTCCAGTCAGGCATCTTTAAGATTTGTGGTACCTCAAAATATCATCCCACCCCTCATCTGGTGCCTCCTTGGACTAGTGGTTGGGGAAAACTGCCCTCCTTTGCCTGCTCCCCATTGCTATACCTCTTGCTACCATTACTGAATGTTTCAATCAAAGATTTTACAGAAGAATGACTAATCAAAAGGGGGAAATGTAGGACAGAAATTTTCAAATTCTCATGGACTCCAGCCTTTCTGGAGCTAGTGAGGTTGGATGAACTAATCCAAAACTATTGCCCTGACATAATCTTTAAACCTTAAACCAAAAAGATCCCCGACGTTTTCTTTAAACCAAACAGTAGTTTTGTTTAACTAGTAAAGACTGCTTGCCACAAGAATTAGCTCCCGCTCTCGCAGCCATTGCAGTACAGTGAGCTCCACAGAGACAGCACCGGGCCAGGCAAAGCTGGACAGCACTAGGTGGACTCTATGCCTCTCGGACAGAAAAATAATAATAATAACTAAGCATGGGCAAAGGAGATCCTAAGAAGCCAAGAGACAAAATGCCATACTATGCATTTTTTGTGCAAACCTTCCAAGAGGAACACAAGATGTACCCAAATGGTTCAGTCAACGTCTCACACTTTTCCAAGAAGTACTCAGAGGGATGGAAGACCATGTCTGCTAAAGAGAAAGGAAAACTTGAAGATATGCCAAAGGTGGACAAGGCCCGTTATTAAAGAGAAATGAAAGCCTATATCCACCTAAAGGTGACACGGAAAAGAAGTTCAAGGATCCCAATGCACCCAAGAAGCCTCCTTCAGCCTTCTTCTTGTTTTTTTTTCCTTCTTCTTGTTTTGTTCTGAGTGTTGTCAACCCCAGCACCTGGCTCTTTTCCAAATACAGTGGCATGAGCACACATGCCGAATCAGATGTATTAGCTCTGCAACTTTGGGGAAGTTACTTAAATTCTCTAAACCTCAGTTTGTTCTGTCAGTGGAATCATAATGATAATACCTATCAGTGTTTCTTGAGAATTAAACTAGATATTTCATTTAAAGTGTGACATATAGAGCCTGGTATGTAGTAAATGCTCAAAAACTGGCAGTTGGTGTCATTACCATCAGATTAGTATAAGTAATGTATTAATATAAATGGTAATTGTGGTAGAATTAATGCTCTGGCCTGTACAAGCCTATTTATAAGGTATCATTCACCACACCTGGTCCCTGATATGGGCTTTCTTCTTCCACTAATAATCATGAAAGGTGAGAAACAGAGTGAAAGACTCAAAGTAACATTGAGTTAGAAGGGCCTTCTTAGGATCACTTGGCCCAAACTCCTCAATTACAAATAAAAGAAACACTTTACCTGGGAAGATTAAGAGACTTGCTTAAATTCCCACTCAGCAAATGAGCAGCACAGCTAGGACTGGAACTCAACTCAAATTGTCTCCTGATTACTACACAGCTTCCTTTCTAAACTACCTGCTGCCTCCCAGCGTGAATTCTGTCAAGAATCTTTTGAGTAATAAATCATTCTCTTCCTATTTTCAAAGCTTAAGAAAGCTTAACATAATTGCTATCACAATTTTGGTCCTCATCTCTCCACTAATTCAACAAAGTGCTCTGTAAGTGATTTTGAAAGGCAGTAGTGTAAGACAACAGGAATCCTTCTACCCAGAGAAGAAAACTGGTCAAATTTTGGGACACTTGGGACTCATGGAAGGTTGTGAATTGTCATCACAGTGAAACGAACCCTAGACCATGTTTCATTCCTGAGTGGTTTCTGGGGGAAACATCAGTCTGGACTGGGTCAAGAGCTGGAAGGTCTAATTTCTGATGACTGAAGGAATCGTTTTTTTCCTGCTCCACCCTCCACTATACTTGAAGTAAAAAAACCATTTTTTATAAATACATGAACTGTGAAATGGAAGTAATGAAACCCAATATAGTTCTGCTTTTTCCCAGGACATTACTCATATTTTTTTTAAAATAGCAAATATAGTGAACTGAATTGGGGCCCCCAAAGATATGCCCACCTAGTATGCTGAAATAAGGGTCTTTGCTAATTTAACTAAAGTAGGGAGATCATGCTAGACTAGGGTGAACGCTCAAATTAAATGAAAAGGGTCCTTAAGAGACAGAAAAGAAGACACAGAGACTTAGGGAGAAGGCCATGGGAAGACAACAGGAAAGACAGGAGTTAGGCAGTCCCAGGTCAAGGAACACCAACGGTGGCCAGCAGTCCGCAGAAGCTGGAGCAAGGCATGAAACAGGTTGTCCCTCAGGCCCTCCAGGGAAAACCAACCCTGTCAGCAGCTTGCTTTTGGACTTCTGATCTCCGGAGCTGTGAGAGAATAAAGGTCTATTGTTTTAAGATGCCAAGTTTGTGACAATTTATTACAGCAGTCCTAGGAAAATAATACAACAAGTAAAAACACGTATTTGGAATTTCATTCTTGGAGCCCCTGCTTTGGTGGAGCCCTAACCTAGAACTAAAACAAAACCCAACAGGGCTTATAGCAAGAGCAAGCTGATCAGTCTGGGAGTTGTTTTAAAGGGAAGGTATACACATTTTCAAAGAAGTCATTATTAGAAGGCAAGATGGAACCAGAGAAAAGGTCAGCAGTTCATGACACTACCAAGGACATTTGCAATTCAGCGGAAAACTCAGTTCTGAGCCTAGCCTGTCTCCTCAATTATGGATAAGGTTTCAGAAATTCTTATTCTGATCCCAAAGCTTAAGCAGATAAATAACAACATTTTTATGTACCAATTTTGCAATATTCCATGAAAAATTATCTTTCCTAATTGGACCATTTTTTTTCTGCTTGGAACATTATTCTTTGTACCTCAATGGAAAAAAATCATTCCAGGAACTATTGGAGACATCAAATTGCCAAACCACATAGCTATGGAACTCACATTGAGAAAAGCAGAGTTCAGGTATCAGAATGTAATTTTCTTTGTGGCTGGTTTATCTTAAGAGGCAAATGTTCTCTTAAATATAAAGTGTTGTTGCAGAAGAATGTTCCTGAATATGATAAATCAAGTAGAAAATTTCAAAGAGTCTAAACTGCACTATAATATTAAGGATGCACTGTTAGTGATACTGTACTTGCAATTCTGTTAAACGTATAAAAGTAAGTAACAGTAGCCACAACCCCACTCCACAAATAAGCTATCAAAAATTGTGTCAACAATTTGGGCAAATAGGCTAGAAAGATAATATGATCTCAAAAAGCCCTAGTTTAAAAAAATAATAATAAAATAAAATAAAAATAAAGGCCTAGTTTGATACATTAGTGATAAAGAAACTACAGGTAATGGTTTTCAATACGGTTGGCAAGTGACGACAAAGAAGTGAAGAAGAGGGAAGAAGACATTTTCCTGGAACATATAGGAACCCTGGTAGCATAATAGTTAAATGTTGAGCTGCCAACTGCCTGGTCAACAGTTAGAATTCACCAGTTGCTTTGCGGGACAAAGATGAGGCTTTCTGCTCCCATAAAGATTGACAGCCTCAGAAAACCAGACAGGATCACTATGAGTTGGAACCCACGGCACACCACCACCACCACCAAGAAGCACACTTAAAAACAATGGATCTTTAAGCACTGTTTGGTTCCGCAGCAAAGCAGTAATATCACACTACCTGGAGACTCTGTGACCACAAGCAACTGAGTCTATCTTTATGAAAGGAGGCTGTGGCCCTAAAAACAAGATGACAAATTCGATGTCCGCTGAGGAACTGAGTACTTGTTTCACCCTGGACAGTACACACCACTTCCTGTCCTGTTTAAAGCACATCACAATAGCAGCTGTTCATTGAAATTGGTATTAGCTACGTGTCTTGGGAGCGGATCCCAGGCCAATCACTCTGCTAAGTGTTTCATATGCATTCTCTCATTTAATCCTCAGAACAAATAAAGTATATTCTATTTTACATAAACGGGGACATTCAAACTTGATGAATACTAGCTGCTGCCCAATATCACATTGAGTGTTAGAGCATGGATTTGAACAAGGTCCAACTGATTTCAAAGCCCATATTCTTAATCTTTAAGCTAAACCCCATTTGAAAACTCAAGGAAATGTAGAATGTAGTTTAGAATATACAATTAAAACACATCTAGTGCCTGTGTTTCTAACAGCATTCTCCGATAAAAGGCACCAGTGCTCTTGGAGGAAATGGCTGATTCTAGAACTTAAAAAAAGGTGAGCACGGTAGCTCCGTAGGATAAGTGCTAGACTGCAAACCACAAGGTTGGTGGTTTGAGTCCACCA